ACACTTATGTCAAATATAATATCAGATCATTATCAGAACAAAAGATTGTAAAAGTCATTAGCAACTGGAACTGGTAAGAATCTGAATGGTTTGATTGGTGATGTTGTTCAGCTGTTATTTGTGAGAGCTTTTTGCACAATCCTGTCATTCATAAAAGCAAAAATGCCTGCTTTTCTTCATCCATAACCAACAATCCTCTGTGACCCATAAAGGAAAGCAATCTCCTCCTGCAGAGAGTGTAATTAGCATTTAATTTTCTGACGACGTCATGCTATTTCTCTCCATTCAGACGCAGATATCCATACATTAATGCTTTCATTGCATTCAGAATGAAGAGAAACCGTAAATGACATGCAGCACAAGCTCTTTCACTGAGCGCGATTAATCCCAGTTTCATAAAGTTTTAATTGCAAACATGCTATTTTAAGGTAAACAACTCATTAATTTCTTCCTCATTAACAGCCACATACTTTCCAAATGTACTTTTGAGGGCAGGATTATCCGTGTTTCCCGTTTCCCCGTTCCCGTGTAATGCTGGATCAACTTCAGAGATCAGCTGCCAGATATTATAGATATTCAGTTTTTAGTGCCGATAAGGCATAAATCATAATTCATTCTTGCAGGAGTCGGCCAGTGCTATAGAAGATTAGATCCGTGATGCGCGATTAGAGAATAGGGTGGAAATTAAGGCTTTTTATCCTCATTCTCAACAAATAAGTGCAACTGAGAAACATTGGAGGTGGTCCAACTAAATATTATATATATTTCCTGTTCATTTTTTTGGGAGATGTCTATTATTGTTTTATTTCCTGATTTTTGTCATTTTTTCTGTGTTAAACATTTAATTTCATATTTTCATATTTTTTTTATTATTATTTTCAGATTTAGCATAAATTAAGCTAAGGTGGTCAAACTAAATATTATATATATTTTCTGTTAATTTTTTGGGAAATGTCTATTATTGTATTATTCCCTGATTTTTGTAATTTTTCTGTGTTAAACATTTAATTTCATATTTTCATTTTTCATTATTTTCAGATTTAGCATAAATTAAGCTGAGGTGGTCAAACTAAATATTATATATATATTCTGTTTATTTTTGGGACTTTTCTACAACATTTGTTTTTGAAAATTTTCTGCGTTAAGCATTTAATTATTTTTTTATAAATGCATAAAAGCATTATTTTTTTGGTTATTAATTTCAGATTTAGCACACATTAGGCCAGTTAGTCTGGGATCAAATGTACTTATTGATAAACTTATTTGTCCCTTAAATTGCAGTACTTTTTTTAATGATCCTTCAGTGATTTCTGGAGGATCATGTGACACTGAAGACTGGAGTAATGATGCTGAAAATACAGCTTTGATCACAGGAATAAATTACACTTAAAAATTTTTTTTTTTTTTTTTTACAAATTTTTAAAAAACTCTTACATACCCACAAACGTTTGAATGGTGCTGTATCACAATTTTTTTTGTATTTTTTTTTTTTTAAAACAGTTGAAAAAGGGGTCATGCATACATAGAAATATATATTCACATAGAAAAAGCTATTATGAATTATAATAATATTTCACAATTTTTACGGTAATTTTGATCAAATAAATCCCGTCTTGGTGAGCAGAAGAGCCTTTTAAAAAACAATCCAAAAAGTTTGTTTCCTAACTTTTGACCGATATTGTAAATATTATGTTGTTGGACATTCAAATTTAAGTAAAAATCTTTTCTTTTTTTCAAATGTTCATGCTTTATAATAGATAATTTTTATCTTGCATACAGTATCTAACTGTTACGACAAAAAAAAAAAATAGATTTTTGCCTCGAATGCTTTAAAAAATACCAAATTCATAGAAAGCACTGAATATTAAAGCATGCAATCTGCCCATCTGTAGATTTAATATTTTTAATCACGCGGCGAATGCCAGAGTGTGTTCTTCCCGAACTCAGACGTGCTTCTGTTGTGTGTTTGCTGCTCCTCCAAAGCATTGTATTATTCATCAAGTTCTCCGTTCTCTGACACAGGGGCCTGATGGGTCCTCACGTCTGATCATTATGCATAACTCGCTCTAGCCTAAAGCTGTTGAAATAATTTTTTCTGTGAAAGAAAGAAAAGAAAGCGCAGTGAGATGAGAATGGTCTCCATGCATCACAGATTCTGTTGTCGCAGTGCCACGTTTGGCCGTTGCTTGTAGAATATATAATGCTGAAGAGTTTGGATGTGTGTATCGTTATCCATCACACTTTATATGCAGAAAACACACCCAGTCAAAGTGAAAATGCATTAAATCAGTATTCATGTGTGCAAAGTGTGTTTGTTCTCCACTGTAAAAACAAAAGTGAATTTCAGACGTAAAAACTTGGTCAACAGTAAGTTCTGTTACTATGGGGAAATATACACTATAATTATCAATTATTATTGGTGCTCAATTATTAACAAATGCAATTTTTTTGAGGATTCATTAATAAAAAAGTTCAGCATTTATTTGAAATGAACCTTTTGTGACATTTTAAATATCTTTTATATATTTGTATATTTTTTTAAACAGTTTAAAACTAAATTTGCAGGTCGTTCTGTAAATATGTTTACTGTATTTATTATTCTGGCAGCCACAGCTGTTTTTACAGTTCAGCATTTATTTGAAATAAACCTTTTGTAACATTATAAATGTCTTTAAATGTGGTACTGTATCACCAATTTTAAATAATGTTTTTAAACAGTTTAAAACTAAATGTACAGGTTGTTCTATAAAAGTTAAAATTTTGACTGAATTATTCTGGGAGCCACAGGTGTTTTTACAGTGCTTTCTTTATAATAAATCATAAAAAGATATTAATTTGCAACAAATGTAATATATATTTTTGATTGCAAAAATGATATTGTATCATATTGAGTGGTACTGTATCACAATTTATTTTTTATATAATTCTTTTAAAACAATTTAAAATTAAATTTACAGGTTCTTCTGTAAATATGTTTACATTTTTACTGTATTATGTATGCAGGGCCATTTTTAAGTGTCCGAATACTCACTGTATGTGTAAATAAGTGAGTATAAATGATCAAAATCAAATATTTTGTAAAACACTCGTGAAGAGCCGGTTGTCCTTCAGGTCGCGTGTGGAAAATGGCTTTATGAACACAAGCGCTCCAGGGACGCTGTCGTACTGACGCTGTGCTTCATGTGAGTGTGTGTGTTTCTGCAGTGGTCACACTTACAGCCAGTGAACTCAGCTTTCCCGATCTGTGAATTATACATCAGCGCATGTCAGACTCTTTAACCTCCGCTTGGGCTTTAAACGGGTAATTACTCCGATTCTCATTCAGGTGAGCGACCTCTGCTGAAACTCACCGCTCCACTTCTGATCTTTAAATACCATGAAGCCTGCAGAGCTTTGCTGCAATTTATGACATTTCAAAATCGTGAGATATCAGATGTGGAAATAGATTTAACTTGTGGTCGGTCAGTCTTATAGACTCTCAGACGTGCTTCTCGTTAAAAACCAAAGTGTGCCAATTAACGTCTAGCTGTTCATCTTCATTATAGAGTCTGTTGCATCTAAATAATGAGAGCATGTTAAAAGATTGGGGTCGGTAAGATCAAAAATACAGTAAAAATTGTGAAATATTATTATGATTTAAAACAGCTGTTTTCTATGTGAATATACAGTAAAGTGTAATTTATTCCTGTGATCAAAGCTGAATTTTCAGCATCATTACTCCAGTCTTCAGTGTCACATGATTCTTCAGATGTTTAAATATTATAAAGTATTGTTGGTGCTCAATTTTTAATAATGGTTCAATTGTTAATATATAATTAAAATTTTAAAATAAAATAAAAAAGTACCTCAAACTTTTGAGTGGTAGGTTATCACGGTTTCCACAAAAATATTAATCCGTAAAAACTGTTTTCAACACTGATAATAATCATAAATGTTTCTTGAGCATCAGATCATCATATTAGAGTGATTTCTGGAGGATCATGTGACACTGAAGACTGGAGTAATGATGCTGAAAAATCAGCTTTGATCACAGGAATAAATTACACTTTACTGTATATTCACATAGAAAACTGATATTTTACATTAGAATAATATTTCACAATTTTTACTGTATTTTTGATCAAATAAGGCTGCATCCTTGGTGAGCAGAAGAGACTCTTTCAAAAATACACTGGGGTGTACCTACAGGAAAATCCACTTCTTATCTTGTGGAAAATGAGTCTCACAAAAAGTGCGAACGAAAGGGTCGGCGAGTTCTTCGAATCATACGCAGGTATTAATAACCCTGCCTGTTTAATAATTGACTCTTCCTCCCGTCCGTCTCAGAGCATGTATTTTTGAGCAGTTCACCTCAGAAGTTTGTTTTGAGGGTCAGGTCGGGTTACTCGCTGATAAATCATTCAGAAAACAAAGTTACAGATCAGATTGTCCTGGACAGCAGCGGAGACGGGGTCGGATATGTGCGTCGCAGAAGAAAATCATGATCTGGGAAGAAATGATCAGAAATAGAATTCTGCTTAGATAATGCTATTATAGTATAATTTACAGGCTATACTATTATAGTTATTCATATTTTAAATTTGCTCTCATTTTTATTTTCATATTTTCAGTTTCACTTTCGCACGATTTAGCAATTTTTTGTGTGATATGTCAAATTAATTTGTTTATATATAATTATTATTATTATTATTCAGAGGGGAAATGTACCTAACATTTTTACGTTTAAGTTTTAATTTGGGATATTACGTTTTTCAATTAGAAAAATGTCTTTATTTATAGTTAACAGAAATGTTTTAATACTTTCTAATTTTCATTAAAGATAATAACCCTGGTAGAGATGACATTTATAAATAGCTATTTGAGAGTGTAAACTCATATTTAAATTTGTTTTCTGTAATGTTCGCAGAGTTTCCATCATCATTTTTCCTCATTAAAGAACATATTTCACAAGTTTCTTTACATGGTGACATGGTCTGTAAATGACTGTTGTATGTTCACAGCGAAGTTCTGCGGTGACCCGGGCGTCCCGGCCGGCGCCACACGAGAGGGCCAGAGCTTCATCTTCAGAGCCGAGGTGTTCTTCAGCTGTAGCACCCCCTATCTACTGGTGGGCTCATCGACACGGACCTGCCAGTCAGACGCCACCTGGAGCGGCTCGCAACCGCGCTGCATAGGTGCGTTACCAAACACTCATATATGTGACCCACACTGCATAGGTGCGTTACCAAACACTCATATATGTGACCCGCGCTGCATAGGTGCGTTACCAAACACTCATATATGTGACCCGCGCTGCATAGGTGCGTTACCAAACACTCATATATGTGACCCGCGCTGCATAGGTGCGTTACCAAACACTCATATATGTGACCCACACTGCATAGGTGCGTTACCAAACACTCATTTATGTGACCCGCGCTGCATAGGTGCGTTACCAAACACTCATATATGTGACCCGCGCTGCATAGGTGCGTTACCAAACACTCATATATGTGACCCACACTGCATAGGTGCGTTACCAAACACTCATATATGTGACCCACGCTGCATAGGTGCGTTACCAAACACTCATATATGTGACCCGCGCTGCATAGGTGCGTTACCAAACACTCATATATGTGACCCACACTGCATAGGTGCGTTACCAAACACTCATATATGTGACCCGCGCTGCATAGGTGCGTTACCAAACACTCATATATGTGACCCGCGCTGCATAGGTGCGTTACCAAACACTCATATATGTGACCCGCGCTGCATAGGTGCGTTACCAAACACTCATATATGTGACCCACACTGCATAGGTGCGTTACCAAACACTCATATATGTGACCCGCGCTGCATAGGTGCGTTACCAAACACTCATATATGTGACCCACACTGCATAGGTGCGTTACCAAACACTCATATATGTGACCCACACTGCATAGGTGCGTTACCAAACACTCATATATGTGACCCACGCTGCATAGGTGCGTTACCAAACACTCATATATGTGACCCGCGCTGCATAGGTGCGTTACCAAACACTCATATATGTGACCCGCGCTGCATAGGTGCGTTACCAAACACTCATATATGTGACCCGCGCTGCATAGGTGCGTTACCAAACACTCATATATGTGACCCACACTGCATAGGTGCGTTACCAAACACTCATATATGTGACCCGCGCTGCATAGGTGCGTTACCAAACACTCATATATGTGACCCGCGCTGCATAGGTGCGTTACCAAACACTCATATATGTGACCCGCGCTGCATAGGTGCGTTACCAAACACTCATATATGTGACCCACGCTGCATAGGTGCGTTACCAAACACTCATATATGTGACCCACACTGCATAGGTGCGTTACCAAACACTCATATATGTGACCCGCGCTGCATAGGTGCGTTACCAAACACTCATATATGTGACCCACACCGCATAGGTGCGTTACCAAACACTCATATATGTGACCCACACTGCATAGGTGCGTTACCAAACACTCATATATGTGACCCACACTGCATAGGTGCGTTACCAAACACTCATATATGTGACCCACGCTGCATAGGTGCGTTACCAAACACTCATATATGTGACCCACACTGCATAGGTGCGTTACCAAACACTCATATATGTGACCCACGCTGCATAGGTGCGTTACCAAACACTCATATATGTGACCCGCACTGCATAGGTGCGTTACCAAACACTCATTTATGTGACCCACGCTGCATAGGTGCGTTACCAAACACTCATATATGTGACCCACACTGCATAGGTGCGTTACCAAACACTCATATATGTGACCCACGCTGCATAGGTGCGTTACCAAACACTCATATATGTGACCCGCGCTGCATAGGTGCGTTACCAAACACTCATATATGTGACCCACACTGCATAGGTGCGTTACCAAACACTCATATATGTGACCCACACCGCAGAGGTGCGTTACCAAACACTCATATATGTGACCCGCACTGCATAGGTGCGTTACCAAACACTCATATATGTGACCCGCACTGCATAGATGCGTTACCAAACACTCATATATGTGACCCACACCGCAGAGGTGCGTTACCAAACACTCATATATGTGACCCGCACTGCATAGGTGCGTTACCAAACACTCATATATGTGACCCGCGCTGCATAGGTGCGTTACCAAACACTCATATATGTGACCCGCGCTGCATAGGTGCGTTACCAAACACTCATATATGTGACCCACGCTGCATAGGTGCGTTACCAAACACTCATATATGTGACCCACGCTGCATAGGTGCGTTACCAAACACTCATATATGTGACCCGCGCTGCATAGGTGCGTTACCAAACACTCATATATGTGACCCACGCTGCATAGGTGCGTTACCAAACACTCATATATGTGACCCCCGCTGCATAGGTGCGTTACCAAACACTCATATATGTGACCCGCGCTGCATAGGTGCGTTACCAAACACTCATATATGTGACCCACGCTGCATAGGTGCGTTACCAAACACTCATATATGTGACCCGCGCTGCATAGGTGCGTTACCAAACACTCATATATGTGACCCGCGCTGCATAGGTGCGTTACCAAACACTCATATATGTGACCCGCGCTGCATAGGTGCGTTACCAAACACTCATATATGTGACCCGCGCTGCATAGGTGCGTTACCAAACACTCATATATGTGACCCCCGCTGCATAGGTGCGTTACCAAACACTCATATATGTGACCCACGCTGCATAGGTGCGTTACCAAACACTCATATATGTGACCCGCGCTGCATAGGTGCGTTACCAAACACTCATATATGTGACCCGCGCTGCATAGGTGCGTTACCAAACACTCATATATGTGACCCGCGCTGCATAGGTGCGTTACCAAACACTCATATATGTGACCCGCGCTGCATAGGTGCGTTACCAAACACTCATATATGTGACCCGCGCTGCATAGGTGCGTTACCAAACACTCATATATGTGACCCGCGCTGCATAGGTGCGTTACCAAACACTCATATATGTGACCCGCGCTGCATAGGTGCGTTACCAAACACTCATATATGTGACCCGCGCTGCATAGGTGCGTTACCAAACACTCATATATGTGACCCGCGCTGCATAGGTGCGTTACCAAACACTCATATATGTGACCCGCGCTGCATAGGTGCGTTACCAAACACTCATATATGTGACCCGCGCTGCATAGGTGCGTTACCAAACACTCATATATGTGACCCACGCTGCATAGGTGCGTTACCAAGCACTCATATATGTGACCCACACTGCATAGGTGCGTTACCAAACACTCATATATGTGACCCGCGCTGCATAGGTGCGTTACCAAACACTCATATATGTGACCCGCACTGCATAGGTGCGTTACCAAACACTCATATATGTGACCCACACTGCATAGGTGCGTTACCAAACACTCATATATGTGACCCACGCTGCATAGGTGCGTTACCAAGCACTCATATATGTGACCCACACTGCATAGGTGCGTTACCAAACACTCATATATGTGACCCGCGCTGCATAGGTGCGTTACCAAACACTCATATATGTGACCCGCGCTGCATAGGTGCGTTACCAAACACTCATATATGTGACCCACGCTGCATAGGTGCGTTACCAAACACTCATATATGTGACCCGCGCTGCATAGGTGCGTTACCAAACACTCATATATGTGACCCGCGCTGCATAGGTGCGTTACCAAACACTCATATATGTGACCCACGCTGCATAGGTGCGTTACCAAACACTCATATATGTGACCCACGCTGCATAGGTGCGTTACCAAACACTCATATATGTGACCCGCACTGCATAGGTGCGTTACCAAACACTCATATATGTGACCCACACTGCATAGATGCGTTACCAAACACTCATATATGTGACCCGCACTGCATAGGTGCGTTACCAAACACTCATATATGTGACCCACACTGCATAGGTGCGTTACCAAACACTCATATATGTGACCCGCGCTGCATAAGTGCGTTACCAAACACTCATATATGTGACCCGCACTGCATAGGTGCGTTACCAAACACTCATATATGTGACCCGCGCTGCATAGGTGCGTTACCAAACACTCATATATGTGACCCGCACTGCATAGGTGCGTTACCAAACACTCATATATGTGACCCACACTGCATAGGTGCGTTACCAAACACTCATATATGTGACCCACACTGCATAGGTGCGTTACCAAACACTCATATATGTGACCCACACTGCATAGGTGCGTTACCAAACACTCATATATGTGACCCCCGCTGCATAGGTGCGTTACCAAACACTCATATATGTGACCCACACTGCATAGGTGCGTTACCAAACACTCATATATGTGACCCGCGCTGCATAGGTGCGTTACCAAACACTCATATATGTGACCCACGCTGCATAGGTGCGTTACCAAACACTCATATATGTGACCCGCACTGCATAGGTGCGTTACCAAACACTCATATATGTGACCCACACTGCATAGGTGCGTTACCAAACACTCATATATGTGACCCCCGCTGCATAGGTGCGTTACCAAACACTCATATATGTGACCCGCGCTGCATAGGTGCGTTACCAAACACTCATATATGTGACCCACACTGCATAGGTGCGTTACCAAACACTCATATATGTGACCCACACTGCATAGGTGCGTTACCAAACACTCATATATGTGACCCACACCGCATAGGTGCGTTACCAAACACTCATATATGTGACCCGCGCTGCATAGGTGCGTTACCAAACACTCATATATGTGACCCGCGCTGCATAGGTGCGTTACCAAACACTCATATATGTGACCCGCGCTGCATAGGTGCGTTACCAAACACTCATATATGTGACCCGCGCTGCATAGGTGCGTTACCAAACACTCATATATGTGACCCGCGCTGCATAGGTGCGTTACCAAACACTCATATATGTGACCCACGCTGCATAGGTGCGTTACCAAACACTCATATATGTGACCCGCGCTGCATAGGTGCGTTACCAAACACTCATATATGTGACCCGCGCTGCATAGGTGCGTTACCAAACACTCATATATGTGACCCACGCTGCATAGGTGCGTTACCAAACACTCATATATGTGACCCACACCGCATAGGTGCGTTACCAAACACTCATATATGTGACCCACACTGCATAGGT